AGAGAGAGAGAGAGAGAGAGAGAGAGAGAGAGAGAGAAACTGACAAAGAGACCAAGAGAAGAGAGAACAAAAGATAGAGGTGGGAGAGGGAGGGGAAAGAGCGAGAGAGAACAAGAGAGAGAGAACAAGAGAGAGAGGGGGGAGGGAGTGTTACCCAAGCAGGAGTGTCTGCTCACTCTGTACATGACTAAGTGCATTCCTTATTGGGCTGAGTTTGGATGCAGAAGAGGAATAATGTTTGTTTGGAGAGAGCGGAAGAGAGAAAAGAGATGGAGGTGGAAGAGGGAGAGAAACCCAAATTGTATGTCTACTGGAGAAGAAGCAGTGTGCTCTATACTTGGCTAAATACAGTCGAGCTGTGTAAGATGGAATCGAAAAGGGGTTGAAAAAAAATCCGTCTGAGACATTTTCTGTTTTGTTTTAGACAGGGGAATTAAGGGGAGTTTCTACCCCGCTAGTGGCATCAAGGGGCATCGAGGTCGTTTGTCTGATCTGCAAGTAGTGCTCAAAACTTCTCTCAAGTGCTATCCTGTCTGATGCTTATCCATTGCCACCAGTGCTTGCATTTTATTGGACTTCTGTTTGACCTATTAAAGCCAGAAACATTTGAACATCTCCTTTGCTTCCTCCTTTAGCCCCCACTCATTGGTGTGATATGCCTAGTGAACCAGTTCAATGACACCCCTCCCGTACATGTAACAACGATTTGTGGAACTCTTTTCTCGGCTGGCCTTACAATCAGGGGGGGGGCAGGCATTTCACACCTCTGGCCACTGGCAGTCCTTGAAAGTTTCTGTGCTTGAGCTCCCACCACTCGAGCACTTTCACAGGCGCTGGTGAAATTTCATACCTACCTACACAACCCTGGCCATTGCACCACGAAGGGCTCACAAGCATGCGGTAAAATCTACCCCAGAATTTCACCCTTCCTCACCCTGCGGCATGGCGCAGAGCTTGGAACCGAACTTGTTAGTTTTGTTTCAACTCAGGGCTGAGTGGGCAAAGCATTTTCCATCTTAGACAGGTAGAAACCCTCCGAGGGGAAGGAATTTCTCTCTCAGTTTCCGCATTAGACAGGTTTCCGTTTTATAGAAGTAATTATAGAGGAATTTATCAAGGGGAGGAACAGGGAGATTCCATTATGACAGGATTCGGTCTTACATGGGATTCTGTTAAGGCAGGTTTGACTGTACATTCTTTTCAAGGTCTGTTTGGGGAGTGGAGGGGGGGGGGGGAGGGGGGTGGTGAGAGGTAGGAGTTGATAAATAAATAAACACAGCAGAGGGAGAAAAAAGAGCTACAGGTGCTTTGGGAGGGAGGCTTTTTTTGCTGTTTGCTGAATGTAAAATGATAATAACGAACATTTGCCATCGATTTGCTGCATTGATGTTAATGTTCTTTTGTTTTTCTTTTTCTGGACAGACCCGCTTTGGAGTGGTCAGTGTTGTGACTGTCCATGTCATGACGGAACCTATTGAAGGGTGAGTTCTGTGTGTGTGTGTCTATGTGTGTGCTATGTGTGTGTGCTATGTGTGTTTATGTGTATGTATGTGCGTGTGTGTGTCTTACTACTGGAGGGATGTGATACATCCAGACTCTTTCCAGTGGGTGGTTGATGGGTGTTCTCGTGTGGTTTGCTCTTTCTTTCCTGTCAAACATCTGTCGTTCTTATTTCTCCTTTTTTTGTTTGATGCTCTCTTATTATATGACACCTAATCTTTGGCACTTATGATTTAATTGTGTTTCAAGTGCTGCAAAACTCTTTCATATAGACAATGCTGATGTCACCATGGTGTTTTATTTTACCCCCCTTTTTTTTTCCAAATATTGTTTTGTTTCCTGAAAACATTATGCTAATGAGAGGGAACGGACAGTTACATGTAGACCTCCAAATTTTGCAGATGAGACATAGGGGTGGTTTGAGGGCGCTACTGGTTGTTCCTTCTTCATTTCTTCTTTTACTCTGTCGTTTCTGTCTTTCTGTGTGTTTCTCTTAGCTAAAACTTGGATGGGACATCAACACGAGTTAATAAGTTTGGATTTTTTGCCCAATGGATTTTATGTTGAGTCGAGAGTGGAGCGAACTGTTTAGAGTTTTAAAATGTTGTTTGTGTCAATTGACAATGTGACAATTGTGTGAAGGTTATGGGTTTAAAAGTACCTCACGCAGGTGGGTTGAGGTTGTGGGTGTTGTGTGCTGCTTCTATCTTTTCGTCGTCGACAATGTCCTTGAAATTTGGCATATAGTTCACAGGTTACTGTCCATACAACTTGTGTTCTGTGCGCTGCGTATCCTCTGTGTGCGTAGAATTGTTGGGATTATGAGTTTTGCTTATTATAGTCCCAGAATATGACACAGTGGGTTTTTTTTAGAGTACTGTGGTGTTGTTTACTCCTTCCTTCCTATCAATTATCTATCCTCCTTATCTCTCTTCCCTTTTTTTTATAGGTTACTTTGTAGTAACACTTGCTAATCTTCGGAACTTTTTTTTACCTCAGTGTGTGGAGAGTTCTCTAAAACGCTTACTAAAAACTAAACAATGTTTTGTGAAATGTTGTTTCACAACTTTAGCATATTGTCCGGTAATGTTCCCTGATGTGTGTTGACTTTGAATATTGTTCTAAATATATTGCTGATATTAAGAGTTGATATTCGTACTTTGAGCGGACATCTCTTGGTTTTTTTGTGGAAGGGATGCGATATAAAGCTAGCATTTTGTTCCTTTTTTTCTTGCCTTTATGTGAAGGGGG